GCCATTTTTCTTTGACCGTAACATTCTCGTGACTATGATAAACAATTTAAATTTGCATGCCAACATTTTGAAAATATCTGCCCAAACCGAGCTGCATGAATAACCCCAATTCTGAACAATTCAATCTGCGGTTGCCAAAAAATGTTGCGTTTTTTCGGGCGTGTAGTGGGCGCAGCAAATTTTCTTTTAAGAAAATGGCGTTATAGTTTCTTATACCTTGATGTTCAATGTATACAGTACGCCCCTAACGAATTAACGAATTTTTATTCCTGTTTCAAGAGACGTAAAAAACACTATGTCTCAAAGTTGGTGAAGGTATACCTATTTATAAATAAAGAAGTTATACGTTTTTCCATATTTTCTTAGGCAGATAAATGATAACATCGTAAGATCTCCGGGTAATAGCAATCAAACTGTTAGAAAAGTTTTAGTGAGATAGAATTAAAACTTAAGACCATTTTACAATACATGTTACCCGCAGGAGCTCAACCGCTTCTTAGGTTTAGTCAAGAATCGTAAGACCGATTCTCTTATAAACAACTAACCAATGTAGGGAATATGGAGTATTGTTAGTTTAACCACATTTTTTATTTATAATGTCGGATAAAGTGAATTATACATTTTTTTGCGTTTGTAGGGTGAAGCACAATCGTAATTGTATATACATATGTATTTATTATATATATTAACAGCATTGACCTAATTGCACCAACACGTTTCACTAATGTCCGGAACTCGCATTAAAGGTTTGAAACAAATGTATAATAAAATCGTCCTCGAAAACATACAAATATTTTTATTATTCGCTCACCTAATTTTGCATATTTGGTTGTATTCCAGAAATAATCCAGTGATGATTGTTAAGATTTACTTCTCACGGAGTTTATTGCTTTTTAATTATTGTTTTAGAATTAAATAAAACTGAAATCGGCAATCCACAACACTTATTGAACGAAAAAACTAAATTTTTGCATTTAAATAATACATTTTATTCAACCACATTCGTCCCACAGTGCAAATGCATTTTCTACAAGCAGGAAGAGAGAGAGTGAGACTCAGTTAAAATAAAGCACGGGGGTGAGAGAAAGTTGTGGAGAGTGACCGAAAGAGAGAAATAATAGAGATTTCATTTGCAGCGTCCAGACACGTGCATTTCTCGACACTTTTGTTGTTGAAGCAAATCAATTAAAAAAACACAAGACTCAGCAAAAAATTTGAATGAACTTTTGTTTAGCACTATGCACCGAGCACATCGCCGTAATAGGTTTTGGCCACAAAGAGCTATTCATTTCGTTCGCTTAACATTGTCAAAAGAGCCGCGACGGCACTGCTTTCCGTTCTCCCACTCTCTCAGAGGGCCTCTCTCACGCTGAGCGAGTAAACAAGCGCCAACTGCATGGAATGTTTGACAAGGGGGCGGGGGTGAAAGGGGGAACGTGTCACTCGCCACAACAGCAACAACAACAACACTAATATCCAGCACAGCACAATTTTGTGGCTTAAATAACTTATTTTTGCCACGAAATCGACAAAAGTTTTCCCTCAATTGAGTAGAACTTTGTTTTCCGTTTATTTTCAAACGGAATACTAAATATTCGTTCGACTCTGTATCAACACATACTGAGACGGGCAGCCCGTAATTAATCCGAATTTGGTTGCAATCTTTGCGTTGTTCAGCGATTTTCTAGCACGGTCTGCGTGTTTATTTTCGATTTTTCTGCATTTTTCCACCGACAACTGCGCGCGATGTAATGTATTACTCGAAAAACTCTGAAACTAAAACGTCGGCCTCTGCCGCTGCTGTCAGGTGAAGCTCTCTCTCGCTCTCTGGCGGGCCGCTTCACCACCCCCTCTCTTGGCAGACAGCGTGTAATTGTTGCTTTTGCTGCGCAGGCGCTCTTCACACACTTTTTCAGCTTGGCAATGCCGCCCTTTTACTCTCGAGCTCGACTTTTGGTTTTGTGATTTTCTCCGACTTGATTTTGTTGTGTTTTGGCGCTTGGTTTTTTTTTTGACTCTCAAGTTGCGCTCGCTCAACTTTCGCGGCAGCTCAAATCGGTCTGAGCAACAACAACAGCGGTGCAGTAGCCATAGCGGCAGCATTGATGTACAGTGGTTGAAGCTAATGGGTAGTGCTTTGTAAATCCGTTTTTTGATACAATTTTTTTCCTAGTCAAATTATTCAAATAACAATCCATACATGTGATCTGGTTTTAAATCACTTTTTTTCAACTTCAATATTTTATATTTTTTTATACATATGTATACAAAAACAATTTTTTTTAAATCAAACATTAACAAAGAAAAATAAGTAAATAAAAATCGAGTTAAAAAATTTTCTTATGCCCTTAAATATAAACTGCAACATCCAGAATGTTGTGGGTTGTGTATAATTTGTGAAGCAACTAAATGCCGTTCCTTTGTTATTGTAAAAATATTAACTTTTTAATACAAGGATCCCTAATTTTTTCAAAATGAAATGAAGCCTAAAAAGCTTGTAAAAGAGTTATAAAATTGTAAAATGCCCGGTATGTACATACATATACATATGTATATAAATTTAAGCTAGTTTGTACCAACGGAAGTGTGGTAGTATTCTTATTCCGGTGTTGTTCAGTATAAAAGCCGAGTCGATGTAGCTATACTGACAAATTTGGCTATGTATATAAAGAAAATGGGTTGTGAAATGACATTGTGATCCTAAACGTTCATGTAAGGAAAAGCGATTTCAATCTACAAAAACGATAACTGCCATTCGATCGAACTTTGATTTTATTATAACTATTTTGTAGTAAAAAAAAATAATCAAACCAAAAGGCTTCATAAACGCGCATTATCGCAACTGAAAGTCAACAAGATCGAGGGCTCCCTATGCTTACAGTGCTGCAGCTTGGATCCACTGTATGCGCACTTGGCCACACATATGTACATACATTCGTGTTCTTCTTGTTGCTCTGCCGAACTTTTGAGAAACTGAAAAAACTGGTTTCAGTGCTGGGCTTATTGGAGAGTCCGACTTGTTGTTGTTCCTGCTATTCTGTGTTTCTTTTCGCTGTGGCTTTTAAGCTCTACTTGCTGGCTACTGCGCTGCCGATATTTGTTGTTCCTGCTGTTCTTGCTGTTTTTTTGCGCCTGTGACTTTGTAACACACTTTTTGTGTTGATTTCGCTCGCTGCTGACGTCGCTGCCGCTGTGGCTATGTGACTTTTGATTTTAATGCTTTTTTTTGTATTTTTTTCAATGGAATTTTGTTTAATTTTATTTTTTTCCGCTCTTGAATTGTACTGGGCTGCGAGAATTGCACGCACGTCTCCCGTCTTCGGTGTAAGCCGTGGGAATTTGGATATTATTGTCTGATTTCAAGGCAGCTACTGAAAACGGTTGGGTGGGGGTGGTGGTGGCCCTTTACTCTCACGTTCGCCAAACATAACCTCACTCTCGCTATTCACCTAAGCTAATTTGCAATAATCGTCTATTGAACCTATTAGCCGGGGGAATCCAATAAAGCGCATACGGCCCTGTGGGTGTCGTCGCCACCTATTGCCCTTCCCATCCTCGAGAAGAGCGAGAGTCAGCCGGGTGTGTTGGGTGGTCTGAAGGCAGTGTCCACGCCCCAATTGAATGGCAAGACACGCGAGCGGCGAACATGCAAAAGGCAACAAAAATGGTAGCGCAGCGATGACGAAAACGCTGAAAGCAACAACCACAACAACAACAACTGCAAACGCCGACAGCAAGTTGAATGACATAAAGCATCAACTGACCTTCAACTCTGAGACTGAACCTTAGAAAAAATGAATAATTTTACACTCGCGGCTCACACACACATGGCCACATGCAAATGCGAGTGTGAGAGCGCCCATGCAACTTTACAGCCTTACAGCTCGTTAAGTGCCGAGGAGAGATAGCGGGTGTAAAGAGGAAATCGCCAAAAGCACTGAGCCATGGCGAAAATTGCTGTTGCAACCAGACCCCGCTCTCTCGCACACACACACAACGAACTAGTGCACCTCCCTCGAAACTATTCACCCCCGCCAAGCGACTGCAGCAGAGGAAACGAGCAGCCAATTGCGCATGATACGGGGCTAGCCGAGTTGAGCAGAAAATTGAAAAAAATTGTCCGAGTTGAGCAGAAACTCTTTTTGGACATAAAAAATGAACATCCGAGTTGAGCAGAAACGATTTTTGGACATAAAAAATGAACATCCGAGTTGAGCAGAAACGATTTTTGAACATAAAAAATGAACGTCCGAGTTGAGCATAAAACCGATAACGGTAAAAAAAAAAACATCCGAGTTGGGCAAAATCAATGTCAGAGATGCGTCAAAATCATTACTTACTCATATAATTATTACATATTTATTATTCATTTATTTGCAAATAATTATAACTTAATAATCATATATCATATATGATTATTAAGTAATTTTTCTAAAAAAGGTTATGTTTTCTGTTTTTAGTTTTTTTTTTTTAGAAAAATTACTTAATAATCATATAGCATATGTATCAATGCAAAAGTGCGCGCGCACTTATGCTATATGATTATTAAGTAATTTTTCAAAAAAAAAAAAAATAAAACTGAAAACTGAAAAAAGAACCATTTTTTTGAAAAATTAAATTATTTAATTAATAATGATTTTGTGGCATCTCTGACATTGGTTTTTTATGTGGAAAAGGCGTTCATGCGCAACTCGGATGTTTTTGTTTTTTTTTTACCATAATCGGTTTTCTGCTCAACTCGGACGTTCATTTTTTATGTGCAAAAATCGTTTCTGCTCAACTCGGACGTTCATTTTTTATGTCCAAAAATCGTTTCTGCTCAACTCGGAATTTTTTTTTTTACCGTAATCGGCTTTCTGCTCAACTCGGTATCGCCCCATGATACGCTCAACATTCTAGAGGTGGGTGAGTGAGAGTGGGGAGCGATGAATCACGACCAACCTACGGGGGTGATCCCGTCATGTTTATCCGGGAAATAAATAACACAGCCGTCCGGAAGATTGCTCCAATCCGAGCAACTTAATAGTAATAATAGTAAAAATTTGGGTCATACAATCAAAAAGGTAATTTTATTAAAAAGGCGTAATTAAAGAAATATAAATAGGAAGACTTTTAACTATCGATCCATTGATGACAGGCTTAGTGTTAACGATCATTTGGATATCCTGTCAGTTGAAAATTTAGTTAACAAAAATAGTTTTTTGGATAAGCAGCTTAGACTGTCTTGCTGACGGTAAGTAAATTTAAAGCTTAACAACTTTCTCTTTTGAAAGCCACATAAAGTCATAAAGTTTTCCCGAAATCAAAACAAAAAAAGGTTGGATGTTCTTAAGAAATATCCCCGTTTTTTACTTAAATAAAAATACTCTATCGCGTCATGTGGAAAGCCAAATATTTTAAACTAAAGTGTCGCTTCCAGGTTCGACTAAAGCATTTTTTATTGCCCACAGAAAGAATAGTAAAGGCGGATGAAACCCCAAATGGGAAAGCGAATAGAGAAGTCCAAGTACACCCGATTGCGATGACGTAAATGGCCGACTGATGCCGAGAGAAGAGCGAAGCCAAACTACAACTATACTACTATGGAAGATAGCAGAGCAGAGCGGCCTATTTCTCGATGCATGTTTATTTTTGGCAGGGGCGCTGCAGTCGCATTCACTCTCCTTGCTCTGCCCCGCTTTTATTTTCTTTTTGTTTGGGCTTTTTGGTTTTGCTGACTTTTTATTTGTTTTAGGGCGTTGTACAATTGGGCGGATACATCATGTGACGACGGCTGGCAAGGGCCGCGGGGATTGGTGCTGAGTGGTGGGATGCGGTGGCATAAAAAAGTATGGCATTTGCAACAACGTAAATGACGTGAGTTGGTAAGTCAATTCTAGCTACTAAATTGGACTATGTAAGGGGTCCATTAGACTTTACCAATTTACCAATGTTAGTTGTTATTGTGGACAAGAATTTTTAATGTATGTACATATATGTATGCATATATGAATGCATTTAAATTGAAAAATTAAGCGAATGTGCAACAGGCGACCTTCTGAAGAATCTGAAAAGATCCATTTTAAAAACTATTGTCGCTAATACACTTCTCTTTCTCTTTATCCCTAGTAAACAATACATTAATTAATAAAGTTGCACACCCAGAACTATAAATTTGTGATTTTAAAATACATAGGTACTCGAAACATTTTTTAAAAAAGCGAAGCACTTCAAATACCGGCAGCAAACATCATAAATATGTACGTTGGTATTAGTCAGGGGCGTACGCGTGGCAAAATATTTGAAAGTTTTGAAATGCCCCCAAAAATTATTCCTGCGTATGCCCCTGGTTTCAGTTAAGATAACCTTGCATCCCTCAAATTCAATGGCATTTCAGGGCGCAGACATTGCTTATGTTTTATGCATGGTACCCAGACAAAATTAAACCGGATCCTGAAATTTCTTTACTTGACTTTTATTTTTCGATAAGTCGAGCGTTTGACCTGACCTTAGCGGAATGGAGGGATGCAAAGGACGGTCAACTGTTAAAAGTTCAAAGCTTTTAGGCCAAGACACAGGTCGCACAGTGGGGGGAAACGCCCACAAGGCGCAACATGACGATTCACCTTTTGAGCTGTATCCTTGACCCAAACAATGCGGCAACATTATTCTATTCGTCTAGCTAAGTGAAAACTTAAATCAAATTCGCAAAGTGAGCTGGCAATGACCACTGCTACTAGCAGCGAAATCGAGGCAAGAAATCGATACAATTACAACAAAAAGTTTTAGGAAAAAGAGTTCAAATATTTTAAACTCTACACAGAACGAAAATCTCAATAAGAATATGTAAATATATATATATTTTAGATGTAGTGTGAATTTTCTACTGTGTTTTAAACATCATAAAAATAATAAATTCTTTAATAAAACTAATTCATCAAATACCTGAAACTTACAACAATGTTATTTTTTCCCAGAGTTTCTTACACTAGAAACAGGAAAACATCCAAAGGCAGTGGCGGATTTACCATATAGGCAACATAGGCTGCTGCCTAGGGCGGCAAATTTTTAGGGGCGGCAAATTTCGACTGTTAACACTACATAAAATACTACTTTTGAAAATTAGGCTGCAGTCTAGGGCGGCAAAATCAAAACTGCCTAGGGCGGCAAATTGTCTTAATCCGCCCCTGTCCAAAGGTATTTTTTAAAATGTAATATGCTACGATAAATTTTAACCATTGTCATTTTGCCATTTCTGCTTATGTGTCGAAACAGCATTTTACAAAAACTGTACCTTGTTTAATTTTTGCAATACAAGCGCAGTTTTCGAGATATAGCATTATATAATTAACATAGACAATAGCATATATAATTTTGTATTAACAAATAGCAGTCAAAATCTTGATATCGAAGAGGGCTTGAAAAATGATCACATTCAGTCAATTTTTACGGAAAGAAAACAAAAAAAAACTCAAATCGCGTTACAGGCTTATATTGGAAAACAAATTTCGTTAGGAACAACCGGTCCTGTGGCGCAATGGATAACGCGTCTGACTACGGATCAGAAGATTCCAGGTTCGACTCCTGGCAGGATCGCTGGTTTTTTATAAATACTTTTTTTTTATATTTTAACTAAAATTTTAGACAGATTGATGAGTTCAAAGTCACTTTAGTTATTCTCATTATAAATTATTATAAATACACAAATTGATACTTTTACAATAACTGTAAAAACGTATAAGCCAACCTGAGCTAGCTTCCTTTCTGTAAAAATCAAAATATTCTAACTTTACGGTTACCAACTGTAAACCGTATAAAGAGACTTTATATTCCCATGTTTACATTTACAAAAATGTATAATTTTTGTTTCCAAAACTCATTTTGTGTATCTATGTACATATATCATAAAATTAGGGAAAAAAAATTTGGAAAGTCAGCAGAGAGTATTATGAATTAAGTTAGAACTTGTTATGTTAACTATACCTTTGGTTTTTAACTACTATGGAATCTCGAATTAAATCCGATGACTATATCCTATAGCTGCCACAATAAACACCGGAAAATATATATTCTAGCATTAATGTTTTTTATTATATTTTGGGAATATAGAGTTTTATACAGACTCATGAATTTCTATTTTGTTTTAGCGTTTATGTATTTTGTTCGGCAATTTTGATGACTGCAAGGGTATATAAGCTTTCTTTCTAGCTTCTTACAATGTTAGCTTTTTACTTAGGTCTAGTGTGTAGTACTCCTCAAAATTCCTTAAATTGGATTTACATTTTTATTAATTAATTTTAGCTTAAAGAAGTTGGGTCCACGAAATTTAAAATTTTAAATTTGAAAAGTGGAATTGCTTGTCCATTTTTGAGCATGTTTGCCCATCTCTTAGATTTTTTTGACCACCCCCTGTTTCGAATATATGGAATTTCAAAAATGTTCGAAAATCAAACATTTTTCATTTTTCAAATTTTTTTTAACTTTTAGAAAATCTATTGACTACATTTGAGCACCTTCTTAACAAACTGTTTTGTGACAAACTTTTTATACCCTTGCAGAGCAAAAGGGTATTATAATTTCAGTCAGAAATTTGCAACGCAGTGAAGGAGACACCTCAGACCGCATAAAGTATATATATTCTTAATCAGCATCACGATCAGAATCGAATCGGATCGGCCGACTATATAAGATAGCTCCCATACAAGAGAATTCAAAAAAAATTCTCACGCCGTTGTTTTTGATCAGATCGATTTTATTTCTTCCATATGGCGTTTTCTAACAACTATTGAATTTCGGATTAAATTTTATCAAAATCGGATAACTCTTACATATGGCTGCCATAGGAAAGATCAAAAAATATATGTACATACATACATATATGGAAATAATGGATAAAACATTATAAAATCGTTGTTTTCATTCCCACGAGCATGATTTTCAAAATACAGTAGAATCCTGTTATAACGACTCCGCTTATAGTGTCCGTCCGGGTTGTGCGACGAAAACTCGATGGTTTGGTTGGTCCCCATACCACGTTGTATGAAAGGGCCTCCTCTTAAATCGTTTACGAGTTTAGAGACAACTATCTTATCAGAATGAAATTTTTCAGGAAAATTGGAAAATTTAACCGGATATTGCGTCGTGCCGGAAAAAATACAGTGTCATAGTTCAAAACTTAAGCATCAAAACACGCTGTTAGAATTGTATGTATGTATTTGTCAGTGATCGGCACCCTTGCTTGTGTGCGTAGCAGCGACACGAAGGATCTTGCACTGGCACAACTCTCTGTTAGTTTTAGCTGTTGCCTTAACAACGCTGCTGCGAGAGAGAGAGAGTCGAAGTGCAATGCCGACGTCACACTGTGTGTGCAGACCTCATAGTCAATTTCATGAGATGTCCCGTTATATTTCTAGTTTTTTCTGCTTTTTTCCGAGTAAAACTGAATGTTTCAATTTGCCAAATGCAATATGTGCAATAATAAGCTCATTCAGTTTTCAATATTTAGAAAAACCTATGTTTGTGAATTTAATTTATTAAATTTTTCGTTTTAATTAAAAAATTAATTTGATTTATTTTAAAAACCTATAAAAAACACAGCAACCATAAAATAATAAAAAAAAAAAAATTTATTCCTCCTTTTGCTTAGTGCGTCTTCCGGTTATAACGACGAAAAATGGTCAGTCCCTTGGAAGTCGTTATAACCGGATTCTACTGTATGGAGTTTTTAATAACCGTTGAATTGAGAAAAAAATTTCATTAAATCGGACATAGTTATCATATACATAGCTGCCATTGGAAAGATCGAAAAATCTTTATAGAAATAACGGAAATAAAATTGTAACATCGTTGTTTTTCATCAGACAAGCATAATTTTTGGAATACAGAGTTTTTTAACGACTCTTGAATTACTAAATCAATATCATTAAAATCGGACGACTATATCATATAGCTGTCATATGAACAATAGTCGAAAATATTTCAATTTATAGAAAAATCGTCATAGCTTAGCCTTTGTGTATGTTGTTAAACTCTTTGATGTCTGCAAGAGTATACAAGCTTTGGCTTGCCGAAGCTAGCTTTTCTTGTTTGATGATAGTATTAACACTTCATTTAAGTACAATTTAAAAAATAAACGATCCTACGATCCTACGAAGCTAACTTTCTTTCTTGTTTAAGTTTCAGCATATAGTATTTTACAATATAATTAGGTAAATAATGCTTAAGAAAATTATATGTTCCTAGTAAAATGCAATAGACGGTAATCACATTACAATGACGTTAACTATTAGGTTAAGTAAAAATCTTTTTTAATATATTAAACCGTACGAATCCATAAAAAAAGACTAGAAATTGGCATGTGTATCGATTTTATGTTAACACTTAAAATGGATAACGCGTCTGACTACGGATCACAAGATTCCAGGGTCAACTCGTGTAAGGATCGAATTTTTTTTTTTGGAAATATTTGCTTATCACATTTTGATCCATAATTGGAGACATTTTGTTTTTAAATGCTTACAAAATAAGTGCGCCCCCGGGTGGACTCGAACCACCAACCTTTCGGTTAACAGCCGAACGCGCTAACCAATTGCGCCACGGAGGCTTCGGGAGCATTTCAAAGACACAGGTTAGTTCCAGCAGTTACCAAGTTTAACTTGAAAATGATTATTTCATTCAATTTTAGCTTAACTCCACAAATGGATATTCTTTATATTTTGATTTTAAAAATTTAGTCAAAATATTGGAAGCCTCCGTGGCGCAATTGGTTAGCGCGTTCGGCTGTTAACCGAAAGGTTGGTGGTTCGAGTCCACCCGGGGGCGATTGTGTCTTTTTGTTTTCTTTTCTTATATTAAATTATGTTATCTTTGTTCTAACCAGTGGCGT